TGGAGTGCCAAGAACCTCCCATTCGTTTTCTTATTTAAACCTCACAACAAACACAGAAGGTAGGTAAGTAAGGTTGTTGTTCAATAGACCTGTCTTCATTTTTTTTGGTACCAGGGATCAAACTCTGGTCCTTGTGCTTGCAAGGCAGGCGGCGGAACCACTGAACTACATCCCCGGCCCCTGGTTGTTGTTTAATAGAGTGAGTTGCTTGGGGTCACACACATGCGCAGCCCCATTCAGAGGCCCTGAATTCTCTTCAGCACCATTACTCTCTCTTGCAAGCATGTGGGTGCGTGCACACTTGTATTTGCACGCATACGTGCGCAGGCGAACACCAGAGTTCAGTGTGCTTGTGTGCATGCATGTAGGGGAGTAGGCCAGGCTGCAGCCACTGTTGCCTGTTCATATCAGCCTCTCACCTCTGGACAGGCATCAGGGTCTGAGGAGGGGCAGTGTGAAAAGGGTCCCTTAGATGGTGAGTTCCTTGGCCTCCTAGTCGTCTTCAAAAGAAGGGTGTGTTAAATTGGGCCTGCACTGGGTTGGGTGGGGATCTTGGCTTTACCCAAGCACTGCTGCTAAGAACTCCTGGGCTATGGGAGCTAGACTGTGGACAGTGAGGACTTGCTCTTCAATGGCAAATTTACATGTAAAAGCACCCTGTCCTTTTCAGTCTCAGGCACTTGGCGCAATACTTCCTAAGGAGCAGACTGTATGTGTAAGAGCTGCTTCAAGCCAGGAAGCGCCCAGGCTGCAGAAGCTCCTTGCAGATTTGGGGGCCTGGTAGCACAGAGGGGTGTGGAGGTCGCAGCCTGGTGATGTATGCAAATCACACTGTCGTGGGGCCACTCAGATGCATCCTGGGGACAGTGCCAAGAGGCATTTTGTGTTACCAGGCCATGGGCAGTGTTCCCTGAGACAGGAATTCTCCAGGGCAGAGATGGGGCTGCAGAGAGGCTTGTTCAACCCTACTAAAGGTGAGAATATACTTAAGACTGCTGACAGGATGGAGGGGCTGCTATTTGTCTCCCACAAAGGTGGAAGCCAGTTCACCCTCAATTTCTGTCATGTTCCCAGGTCCCTAACTTAGGGCACAGAAACCTGGCTGGTATCTTTCTTTCTTTTTCTTTATTGTCACAAGGTAAACTGTTTGCTCCTATGATTTAGTTTGTTTTGTTTTATTTCATTTCACATTCTTGCCTTTTGTTCAGACTTTCAGGTTAAAGATGACCAGCAGTGCCCTCGAGGATGTTAGTAAATAGATTCATGTCTTGTAGCTTTGTTCCCACCGCCTTGTACCTACTTGAGACATCTTGTGTGAGTCTGGATAAAAGCTTCATGTTTTTCAAAAGTCCCCATCTGCATTAAAAGTGCACAATGTCTCTTATAGCATCCATCAATTCAAAAGAAGTTTTCAAATGTTTGCTGTGGGTATGGAGCCTTGAAAAGCTGTATTGTTTTATCCAGGAAGACACTGAACTCGGGGTCTGGCAACTTGCCTGAGGCCACTCAGCCAGCCAGGGAAGGAGGCCCGAGAACCCAAATGTGATGGCCAAAAAAATCCAATAAAATTTTCCACTCATAAACTTTGACAGACCCCAGGATGGTCTGAAATGAACATCCACTATGGAGAATCAATTAAGAGAAGAGAGGGCCAAGCATAAGAATGTCAGGTATGGAAAATCCATCTCATGGCAAAGGAGAGGATAGTCATTGATTTCTGAAATTCTGAAGCAGTGCTTTTTCATTACAGAAAATCTGGAAGTAAAACCACCAGAATGTATCAAGAAGGGATTTTCAGGTATTTACATTTCCATCACAAGGATGAAGCCCAGATTCCCCCATGACCCTTTCTGCTCATTGGAGAGTGTTACTAGGAATGATACAGGAGGCTATGGCTCTCAGCTGGTTTTCTGGAATTCACGTATTATCTGAGTACTGGGCATGCGTTCAGAATTATCATTTTACCACTATGACTACAACTTTCGCGATTTTGGTTTTTTTTGTTTTTTTTTTGAGCCAAGTTCTCACAAAGTTATCCAGCAGGCTGCCCTCAAATTCTCCATCTTCTCACTGTAGCCTCCTGAGTTGCTGGAATTTCAGCTGTGTATCACCACACCTGGCTTGACTGTCATGTTTTCAAAAATCGTATACAAGGACAACAAAAATGCCTCAAACCCCATAGATGCCAATCTTAACAAAAGAAGGCTTTAAGGGTTGAAATACATCTTCCATAAGAAGGCATATTAACATCCTAATCCCCAGTGTGATCTTACTTGGAAATAAAGCCATGGCAGATTAACCAGTGAAGAAGAAACCACTAGGTGGGTGCTCTCCTGATGTGACTGTGTCCTTGTACAAAGTTCCTTGGATGGACTCATGCAAAGAGAATATGCATGTAGATGGCCATGTGGCCACAGAAGCAAAAGTCAGACTGATACAGCTGTGACCCAAAGAGAGTAGGATTGTTGGCTACCATCACAAGCCAGGAAGATGAGTGGAAGAATTTAGTCCCAGATTGGCTGGTGCCAAGGGAGGCTGTGGCTGAACAAAGATGCACCCAGTAAGCAGAGAGGGGGAGCCATGCAAGAGAGGAGGGATGAGGGACCACATATAGTTCCCTAGGTCACATCTCAGTGACCCACCCAGACACACCCAGAGGTGTTCTCCATAATCCTTTAGACAGCTCCTAACCCAATGAATTTGACCCAGTTGGGCTTAAACTTCAGTTTTTAATGGAGCGGTCAGAGAATATAGACATAAAAATTTGGACGTTTTCTCTGTGTTTTCACTGTGTCCACTTTTTCTTTTTTGGGGGGGAGCGCACACAGGAAATTATTTTTTGAGTTTCCTTAGTGGTAAATTGGTGACTAGAGCCTTTGGCCAGGCCCAGTCCTTTAAAATCCTTATCACAATTTCTCCTCTGCCACTGGGACCTCAGGGGCCATGTTGTCCACATGGCATAGATACAAGATGGAGGAAAGGCTGCTGGTCCTCAGTGAACCTCACCTGCATGAGAAACAAACTTCACTTGTATTATGCTGAGATGTTGGGCTTTGTCTTTGCTGAGAGAATCTTGTCTTATCCTTACTGTTACCCTGCCTGAAATTATAACATCACTGATGCTAGTGGGCAGACATATTCAAAGAAGTCCACACGTTGAGATCTATCTCCTCTTCCCACCATGTTCTTGCAGATTAGAGAAAATGCAGTTAGTGATTATGGGCTTGGGCCGAGGAATTCAAAGTCTTGGATTTTAAGATACACTGTGTAGCTATGTAGTTCTGGGAAAGTTCCCCACCTACTCAGAACCTCAGTTAGTTCATGCGTAAAGTGAAGTGCTAGTTGGTCCAGTGAATAAGGAAGATGAGGACACACTGTGATGTTTTTATGAGCCTACCTTTCCATTGGACAACATGCAGCAGCAGTCACTGCATTTTTGATCAAACACTCACAGAAGAGTACATCCAGAACTGCTCCAGAAGGTGCCAAGAACAATGGGGTACATGTGTTTGAAATGAAGGGGAGTGTTTTTAGGGAGTGTAATGTGAATGTATCTTTTACTATAATACATTAAAAAAGTTTAACATTTACTGTATTTTGTGATCAGTTCTTGTATGTGTGTCTCAGATGCTTTGTGCTGCTATGACAAAATACCATGAGTACTTGGCTTATGAACAACAGAATTTTAGTCCTCACACATGATGAGAACACTTGGAGAGGGCTCTCTCTGTGCTTCACAGATGAGGACTTATCCTGTGTACACACTTCGGAAGGCATCTGGGGTCCCTTTGCTAAGGTCACTAATCTCATTCTTAAATGTTCCACCTTCTGGACCTAATCACCTCTCCAAGTCTCCATTCCTAACAGCACTGTATATGTGATTTGGTTTCAGCATATACATTTTGGAAGGGGACACAAGAATTCAGACTGAGGCAACATCTGTATACCAGTGAGTACGTACAGACGCGAAAACTTCCTTCATGGTCACACATTTCTTTCTTAAAATGGAGAATCCCAAGCATTTCTGTGTTTAGGATTTCTGTGTTTTGTTCTTCAGATAGTACAGCTTGGTCTCACTATACTCTCAGGCATTTGGGAACATCCCCTAAAAGTGCCATAGTTTATTATATTCAAAGAAGGAGATAAGGAAAATTGTTTTTGTTTTGTTTCGCAGTAATGGGAATTGAACTTTGGACCTTTGCACTGAGCCATGGCCCCAGTTCTTTTTATTTTTTATTTTGAGACAAGTTCTATCTAAGCAGCTAAGTTGCCCAGACTGGGCACAGATTTGCCATCCTCCTGCCTCAGGCTCCTGGAGTGCTGGAATTACAGTCATATGCCACCACACCTGGCTTGGAAAAGTGTCTAAAGGAAATATATCTTACTAAAAAGAAGGTGGGGTGGGGTTTCTTGAAGAGGAAGATATTCTGAATCATACGTGTTTAAAATGTTCTCTATAGTTGTGGTTCCCACCCTTGCCAGCATCCTGTTTGCTCTACCCAGAACTAATAAACCACAATTTCTGAGGTGGGTGTGGGCATCTGTAAGTTTTGATGGTTCTGGAGTGATTCCAGTGGAGAGCTAAGCTGGGAAGCCCTGCTCTGGAGATGTGATCTAGGGCCCTTCATAACAGTTCCTACTATCTTAGGTGCATCACTGGCAGAGAGACCCCAAGAATGTTCTTCACAAAATGATGAAATAATGAATATTCTCTCCACTTTCACATATGGAAGCTGAGGGTTGAACATGATATGCATTGCCTGCGCTCACACAGTGAGAAGTGAGTACTTGAACCTCAGTCTGACCCAGTATAAAGCCTTATGCAGAGAGGACAGCTCCTAGTGGGCCCTTCTCCAAGAGCATCTGCATGGCCACTGGCAGTGAGCTAGTCATGAATTTCTAGGAGGTAAAATGGTTTTGCCGGCCTCTCAACTTGGGAGCTCATGGGCTTGGTCCTGGAAGAGATGGTTGAGTTTCTACCCACCGAAGTCTTTTGCACATGATCATACAAAGCTAGCTTGCTAGTTGGGTGGATCTGCAGAGAGCAGGTACTCACAATCAATGAGTTCAAAGACGTAAGTCCTTTTGTTTGGGGGTTCACTGAAGGATCAATTTGGTACTCACACATTCAGCACACGAACCAACATCTGTCACTCACCAAATATACTCTCTGATAATTCTAGGAATCCCTGATACTGCCTTTGAAAATGCCCTTTTCTCCTCCTGGATTTTCCTCAGTGGTCCTTCTCCTTTGGGTAATTCCTACCTTATTTATAGGAGCTCAGGTTCTGCAGGCAGATGGTGGCTCCTCTTCCTTTGGGCTTACATGGCTTCACAGGAATGACCCACCCCTCTGTGACCCAGCACCACTCACAAGAGACCAGGTTCTGCATGGCTGGGACTCTGCCACATTCACCTTGGCATGACCAGGTCTAGACTGAAGAACAAGTTGGCATGCAGCAGGCCCCTAGCTTAGAAAACTGAATAAATGATGAATCTATAAGAAATTTGAGATTTATGAACTCAAGGGAAATGCGAGGGATTTCATGAACCAAGGAATCTCTACTCCTCCTCCAACTCTATTAAAAAGCAAAACACCAGTGAGATGTATTGGGCCATTTGCTGTCAGCCTGTGGTTAATTTCATCATGGGAAAGTCACTTGAGCTTGGAGCCTGACTCCCCACTGTTGGACATGTCTTCTATCCCATTAGGAGGATTCCCCTCAGTAATTACAGGGTAAATGACTTGTTAAATCTGTAGCTTTCACAATAGATTTCTTGACATGCAGTTCATATATATTTCTTGGGTGGTTTATCATCCTTTTGGACAGTACATATTTTATGGAGAAGGGAGAGCTCTCCAATTAGTAGTAATTGTGATCGAAGCAGTAATGCTCCTCTCCAACCTTATTCCATAAGAGGAGACTGGAAGGCCCATGTTAATTGCCACAAAGAGCTCTGTCTATCTGCAGCAGTATATAAATAATGAATTAGAGGAAGAGCGAGCACTACAGCTGCTATAGTCTTCAAGGGAGTACGGATATTTATGTAGTGCTGATTGCTAAAAATCTTCTCCAAGTAATTATTAGTAAAAGCGGAATGCCTACATTTGTAAGGGGATTTTAATTAAAGCGAAGGTGACTCTCATTATGGGGAAGAAGTAGCATTTGGGGATTAACATGTAGGTCCAGGACCAAACCGTTGGGTCTGATTGGCTTTCTCTGTTGTTGCTTGGACAACATCAGAGAGCTCAATTCCTTTGGGTTCAATTTCCCCAGTTTCTTAAACCAGAGGAAATAAAGCAGTTATAAGTGCTTGAAGTTCCACTGAATAAATAAACCCCACAGTTGGAGTCTTCTTATTCAATTAAGCTCAGGATTGTTGGACAGGGCTGGGCCATCCATCCACCTTTTTAAGCCTCATGTATAACATTTGAATACCACTATTTTCATATTGGCTTTATAGGGAGTAAATAAAACCAAGTATGCAGAAGGAATGAGACCTTAAAGTCTGATGGAAAACAGACTTTAAGTGGTTTTAGAAAGGTAACTTCTTTTCTATTGGTTTGATTTCTTTTGATATAATTGGTTTAGCTGTCATGGTTCAGGAATAAGTAGGACCTTGTTCTTGACCCCAAGCCATTCACCGTGTACAACAGAATGAGATGCTCTAATTCATGATTTCTCTTCACTTCCACATGAGCACTCTTCATTTCATCACAGTGCTTCTTAATATCTGTATTCATTTGGAGATGGGGGTGTAGATTTATTTGAGGAGCTGATACAAGCCATTCAATCTCTTCCAGAAAACTGCCCATATTATATATGGAATTCTTAATATTTCATGGAGCCTTATGTTTACCCTAAATGCATCTTTCCTTATGACCCTGGCTTTGAGGGCTGAACTAAGATTCCCAGGGCTGGGAGAAGGAAATGGAAGAGCAACTGTTCCCAAGTGACTAATGAGGCCTAGCTATTACGGGCAGTCTCCTTCTCTTTCAGGAAGAGAATTAGTTTGCAACGAAGCCTAGCCCTTATTTTACACACCAAAGAGGAAGATCTTGTATTCTGGACTTGCATCCACCAACAGATGGCCACGAATTCTCATTTGGACTGTAGGAAACACTACTTGTTTTTGTCTCCCAACTAGTTCAGTTGCACATGGATCAATATATACTAACATACAAGTGGAACTGACCATTAAAAAACAAGGATGGCATTAAACAAAAGCAATAATACACAAGGAAATTGACTTCATGGAGCAGTTATGTGTAAATGATTCAGTAGGATATCATAACATTAATGTAAAGACAGTGCCATTGTTAAAAGCTCCAGGTCTTGGTTGGGAGGGAACCACTACATATATTTAGATAGAGAAAGGACTAGTGAAAGCCTCACAACTCATGGTTAAATAAGTAAACTAGAGCAGGGGTTGACAAACTCTTTCCCAAAGTGGGGATAGTGAATACCTTTAGCTCTCTGGATCATAAGGTCTCTGTCACAACTGTTCAGCTCTGTTCTTGTATCTTGAAAGCAGCCGTAGCCGATGTATAAAGGGATAAATATAGCTGCGTTCCAATGCAGTTTTATTTTTAAGCACCAAAATTTGAATTTCAGGTAATTTTCATGGGTCACAAAATATGATTCTCCTTAGAATTTTTTCTAATTTTTTAAAGATGTCAAAGCCACTAGGTCATAAGTTGTACAAAAATAGGTGGGAAACTGGGTTGGACCTGTTTGCCTTGGTTTGTTGATCCTTAACATAAAAGACAGGGGGAATGTGTTTTAAAATTTTGGAAATTATGAGGAAAAGAGAAAATAACCTGAAGATAGATGAAGCTGAGTTTTTCTCACTGAAATTGGAAATGTGTACTACTCTTTTTTTGTTTCATTCATTCATTTGCAAGGCCAGGATTAACTGGAAAGTGGAGAAAGAGAATTAGCATTTGATAGCCCTCCTGTGCTAGCAGATATGCTATTTTCATATGTCTCCATCCTGGAAGGTAAGCATCATTTTGGTTTAAAGATTAGACATTACCCAACACAGAGTGGGCAAAGTAATTCCGTGGAGAACCACAAGGCCTCATGTGGATCTAGGAGCTGAACTGGGCTTGCAGACTTTGGAGGCTGCTTCTAAGAGTCACTGTGTGACACTTTTGGTGTCTCTTGACTCAGTCCTGAGCTCAGTACTTTACATATTGTATCACATTTTTTATCTTTATGCATGAAGAAAATCAGGGACGAGGAGGAACCCATGATTCTATATAGCTGGTAAATAGCAGAGCCAGGAACATGCACTAAGAATCTACATTTACAAAAGCACAAAGCCTCTCACAAACCTTAGAAAGCTAGTAAGTTAATTAGCCAGATAGTTTTTCATTCTATAGAAACTCAACTTGCAAGGTTACACAAATGCAAGGAGTGGCTTTCTATTAAGGAAACAACA